TTTTCCTATTTCCACTGTTGTTGAAATTATCAAACTTAGTTTCTGTTTAGAGCTTATAATATTTATATTCCCTGAGGTTACTAGAATCTTGTAATGGCATATCTTTCTACTTATTAATTTATTTATTTTCTCCCCTTACCCTTCCTTCACCTTTGGCTCTCAAAAATCTCAAATATATTAAGACATCATACGCAGCAGTGCATGCGTACTTGTTTATGGCAGCACAATTCATAATACCTAAATCCAGGAAGCAGATGCTATGCACATCAATAGATGATTTGATAAAGAAGAATGCATATATAATGGAATACTACACTTCTATAAAAATATAAGACATTTATAGGAAAATAGATGTTTTTTGAAAATATAATTTTGGGTGAAGCAAACCAGACATATAAACTTACATATCTTATTATAGCTCAAATTTCAATGAGGTATGCTACAAAGAAAATAATAAAGGCAACAGAGAAGAGACTAGGGGATGATCTTTTGAGTTCCTTTTAATGCTAACTTTGTAGTAACCAGGATCTTCCCAGCAACAATTTTGCAAGCCATCCCTTTTTGGCTAAACAAACTTTACAAGTGGGCCTTTTGCTATTGACTTTTAATGTAAACCTCGCTAAAATCCAACAACAGTACCCTGGCCACATCTCAAATGTCGGCTGCTTTGAAATTTTCTCCACCATGTTAATTAGTCTGCTACCCTTCATTTCAGTTCCTAGCAAAGTCTTAGGACATAAGCAAAGTGCACACAAATTTCTGCCAGAATGTAATGGTCTTGAGTCTGTCAACAGAGTCCTTATTTCCAGCTGACACCTGCTGAACCTGGTCTTTATCATCTGCATTTCTAGGAGCAGTCTGGTCTTTGAAGCCCTGATGATTGTCTTGCTGAGCTTGGCTTGTATATAATCCTTCAGGGTTCCTTTAGAAGAATCTCAAATCTTTCCAAACTTCTGCAAACCAGTTTCAAAGACCTCTAAAAGCACATGTTCAGATAATCAAAGCAACATCCGGTACCAATATCTGTCTTGGTAACTTTTCTCAACACTGAGTCATAACACCCAACATCCATAATTTAGAGGAGGAGAGGTTACTTACTCAGTGTGATAGACTGACTCTAAGGCAGAAAGAGATGGAGGAAAGGCTTACCATGGAGGAGAGCTGCTCACGTCATGGTCATGGAAGCTAGAAGCAGAGAGAGAAGGGAGGAGGCACGGAGGAAGATAAATCAATGGATAACCATCCCACACATTTCAACAAATTTAATGTTTGACATTTTATAGACCATGGTTCAGAGACACTGTGTCACTTTGATACTTTCTACAACTCTGAAAGAAAAGGAGGATTATTGTTTGAGAAAAATGAAGAATAAGGCTCATAGCATTGCATTGTCATGCTCAGGGTTATATAACTTAAGAACAGAGCAAGCACCCATGACTGTGTAAATAAAATAGTGAACTATGACACATTTATCTCTGCTATGCGTAGGCACTCAAGTAGCCAAGAGAAACCAACAGCAGACACTTTTTCATCTCATAAATTTCTATAGTAATTCCAGAACTTAGTTATAAACTAAATTGCAAAATACCAGATGGACTCTTATTATACACTTGCCATATTAAGTCATGGAGTCCTTGGAAGGTCATATTAATTATTTAGTCTGTTGTGATTGTTGTTTCATCAGCGATGTAACAATCATGGCTTTAACAACACCCTGTGGTGCCAGGACAGGATGGAAGCAAAAGATTTTACAGCAATTTAGAAGCAAAGAGGCAAAAGCAGATGGAAAGATATGCCTTTCAAGGAAAAGGAATTGCTCTCGGTTCTGCGGAGGTTCTTCACCACCTTGGAATTAAGGAATGCCACCCTTCAAATACTTGTGCTCTTTCCTAACAGGAATGCTTTCCATTTTAAAATAACAGTGTCTGCATAACTTAACTATTACTATTACTCTGAAAATCCAAGGGGCTCTGATAACAATTAAGTGTGTTAATATAACATACATTTACTTTTTTATCTAAGAATTCCAAGTTCTTCCATGTGATCTGTATTATCTAGCAACCTCGAAGCACAGCTTATCACCATGTTGATGCCTAACATCAACAATTAATTATTCACAAACTACTGAATAAAGTATGATTCTTCAAAGGGGAAAAGAGACAGAGACAGACAGAATATCTATCCAACAGGGGAGGATGTCAATGTTTGTTCTAGATTATTTACTCACCAGCCTTGTGATCAAGGAGACATTGCTCAATTTGTTTTATAATATCGAATTTCTTTTTCATATAGAGATAATAGAATGTTTCATGTATTTCTGCAATTGCTAATATTTAACAAGATAATATATATTTGAAAACAGAAGATTGAAATTTCCTTTATTTTTATGTTGAAAAGTAATACATGTCACTAGTTAAAAAAAGTAAAAGTAGAGAGGAGAAAAACAAAGAGAAAGTTACAGAGTAGGAATCAAATAGCTTGGTTCTTACAAATTACATAGAATCATTACTAACTAGGACCAAAGTATAACAAGAATCAGATAACTGTACATAAATCCATTCTTCTCCTATTTTAATCTATCAAACAAAAGATCCAACTACCCAAATGGGTATTTCAAATGCCCATTTTTCGGTTTAAATTATGTATATTATTTCCAGAAGATGTTTACAATTATTTTCTGAAAGCTAGAATATTTCTTTGTGCTTTATTAAATGGAATGTGAAGTAATACTCGTGTCAAAGATGATTTTTGATAACTGATATTTTAATCAGAATTAATTAAAATGAACATTTCAATAAAATATGTATAAAGAGTTCAGTTCAAAAATGTCCATGAATCTGTATGATAAACAGAAAAAAGTGATGCTCATAAAAAGTCAGAATTTTGATGTGATAGTCGTGTTGGCTATTAGGAAATCATTGGAATGATCATGGGCATACTGAAGTTATTTTGTCTGGATGAATCAGAGGGAAAATGGCAGGGGAAGAAAAAGAATTTTTTTTCTACTAGGCATCAAACTCAGGACCTTACATTTTCCAGGGAAGGGAAATCTTAAATTTCCATTCACGGATGTTAGCCCCATATTTATACCAAAAGCATTTAATACTTAAATACTTTGTGCTCTAGGTAGAAAATACTTCATTTGTTTGAGTTTGCACTTTAAAATTATGAGTTTGAGTACTCCTCTTCATATTTAAAAGTCTTTAACATTTAATTTTTCATTTGTGTAACTAGCACACTAATATTTGAGATTGTTAGCCTTTTCTCTTTCCTTTTTTCCAAACTTTATATTAAGAAAAATATGAGTACTTTTCTTGTATGAATTTTGCAAACATTTTTCTACTGTTTAATTTTGTTTCTTTCTATTCATTAATTTTAAATTATTATAAAGTGTTTACATATATTTTTCTATATGCTTCATCTCAAAAGGTAACTTTCTTAAAATTTTAAAACACTTGAAAAAAATTTGCTTTCTGAAGCACAATCAGCCATTTGTTTAAACATTACTTGTGCCATGAGGATGCAAACCAAAGTACTTTCTAAACGGATTCCAAACGATAAACCACTGTTCTACCTGTACCCTAAAGCATTGCTTTGAAATTAGTGCTATCAAAATAAAAAGATTTGATAATTTTGAAGTGAAAACAGATAATTCTTCAGTATATAATTTTTTTTTTTGGTCATACAGCTCACGATAATTTTCACCAGAGGAGCAGAGCTTCACTAGCTCTTCCCTCAGATTCCTCTTCTCCAGTAATGTGCCACAGCTCTTCTGATGAACTCTTTTCTTTTTTTTTTTTTTTTTTTTTTTTTGTCTTTTTCCTTTTTATCGGTACCAGGGATCAAACTCACAACTGCCTGCTTGCAAGCAGGTGCTTATGCCGCTGAGCTAAATCCCCAGCCCCTCTTCTGATGAACTCTTAACTTCTTGTCCTGAATTCCCACCACACTATTTAACTGTTGCCTGACTTTCACATAGTTATTTAAACACTGCTGATGATTATTCACTTAAGTGCACTACACTTAGAAAGTGAACTTACGTTTAAAAATTGTTTTTATCAGCCTATCTTTGTTGCCAGAATTTATACGTCTCACAGGCAAGGACTGTCTTGATAATTACTGAAACCTCAGAATAAGTCACAATGCCTGAGTTAAATGGCTCCATAGAGATGTGAGGATGAAGTGAAAGAATTAAAAAAAAATGCATTTAAATTTCATTGTCTCATCTCTATCAGTAATGTGGCATATGATATTACATCAATTTCTTCATCTTTTGTGATCACAATTTTCTCCTCAATAGAAGGTTTGGCAGGAAGCATAGTAAGATAGTAGATTTAATAGCAATTTGAAAAAGGAAACTTTCAAAAATGGGTACAATCATATTATGATTTAATAAGCAATGGTTACTTTGCAAGATATGAAATATTAGAAATTCTACTGCTAATGCTAGATGATTTTAATTCCAAAACAGAGGTCAAATAAAATAATTTTCATTGGGAAAGTACATTGGAAAATAAAGTATTTTACATTGTCTTTATTATCCTCATCATTGGTATTATGTAAAAGGCTTGAGGTGACTATTGATTATAATAGTAACACATTCAGTTTTATGCTTTCTCCCATTATTGTGTCCTTTCATTACTTTATTGATTTCTATGTACTTTCCAGAAATCTCTTCGGAAAATTTTATGCATAATTTTGGTTTACTTATCTCAACTCTTCAGGATTATGCTCTGTTTATTGGTTGAGGGATAAGCAGAAAGATGATAGATAGCCACATCTATAAATTGTCACATTCACAATGTTATTGAACTTTGCTACTTTGAAAGGTCCTTATGAATCCTGCATTTAAATTTTTTGTCTTTTATGTAGGAAATTGTATAATAAACATGCAAAAGAAAGAACATTCGGAAGTAAAAGTAATTCGAAAGGAAAATGCCAGATGCATTTTATGGTAATATTTATATCATATTTGTTAATTTTATTCTATCTCCTTGCAGGTTTAAATGCTTGTTTGGCTACTTGTCTACTGAATACAAAATGAATAATTCAACAAACTCCTCCAATAATAGCCTGGCTATTACCAGTCCTTATAAGACATTTGAAGTGGTGTTTATTGTCCTTGTGGCTGGATCCCTCAGTTTGGTGACTATTATTGGGAACATCCTGGTCATGGTTTCCATTAAAGTCAACCGCCACCTGCAGACCGTCAACAATTACTTTTTGTTCAGCTTGGCCTGTGCTGACCTCATCATAGGTGTTTTCTCCATGAACTTGTACACCCTCTACACTGTGATTGGCTTCTGGCCTCTGGGACCTGTGGTGTGTGACCTCTGGTTAGCTTTGGACTATGTGGTCAGCAATGCCTCAGTCATGAACCTGCTCATCATCAGCTTTGACAGATACTTTTGTGTCACGAAACCTTTAACCTACCCAGTTAAGCGGACCACAAAAATGGCAGGAATGATGATTGCAGCTGCCTGGGTCCTCTCTTTCATCCTCTGGGCTCCAGCCATCCTCTTCTGGCAGTTCATTGTAGGGGTGAGAACTGTGGAGGATGGGGAATGCTACATTCAATTTTTTTCCAATGCTGCTGTCACCTTTGGCACTGCCATTGCAGCCTTCTACTTGCCAGTAATCATCATGACTGTGCTGTATTGGCATATATCTCGAGCCAGCAAGAGCAGGATAAAGAAGGAGAAAAAAGAGCCCGTGGCCAACCAAGATCCTGTGTCTCCAAGTCTGGTGCAAGGAAGAATAGTGAAGCCAAACAACAACAACATGCCCGGCAGTGACAGTGCCCTAGAGCACAACAAAATCCAGAATGGCAAGACCCCCAGAGGTGTTGTGACAGAAAACTGTGTCCAGGGGGAGGAGAAAGAGAGCTCCAATGACTCCACCTCAGTCAGTGCCGTTGCCTCTAATATGAGAGATGATGAAATAACCCAGGATGAGAACACAATATCCACTTCCCTGGGCCAGACTAAAGATGAGAACTCTAAGCAAACATGCATCAAAATTGTCACCAAGACTCAAAAAGGTGACTCAGGCACCCCGAGTCACACCACTGTGGAGTTAGTTGGGTCTTCGGGTCAGAATGGAGATGAAAAACAGAATATTGTGGCCCGCAAGATTGTGAAGATGACTAAGCAACCTGCAAAAAAGAAGCCTCCTCCTTCCCGAGAAAAGAAAGTGACCAGGACAATCTTGGCTATTCTGCTGGCTTTCATCATCACCTGGGCCCCATACAATGTCATGGTGCTCATTAACACCTTCTGTGCATCCTGCGTTCCTAACACAGTATGGACCATTGGTTACTGGCTCTGTTATATCAACAGCACTATCAACCCTGCCTGCTATGCACTTTGCAATGCCACCTTCAAGAAGACCTTTAAACACCTCCTTATGTGTCATTACAAGAACATAGGGGCTACAAGATAAAACAATCTCCAAAAAACCAAAGGTGGTCAAGGGAGCTTGAGAAGAATAACAAAGGTGAAAGAGCTCCCAGGTTTAATATCTCTGCTGTTGCACTTTATAGTCTCATTATGAAATGTGCAATTAAGGAGCTCAACTGTGACACTCCACTCATGCCCGTGAGTTAGTCTGAAAAATCTTGTTCCTTACAAACCCAGTCAGCTAGTAGCAATGGGACAATGAGACATGTTGGCATTGCTGATTTAAGGAGCAATCTACACTGTCTCCTACTTTCTTGAGAAGGGCTTCTGAACCTGCACTGTTACCAGTTTCTGCACAAGAAGATTAATGTGTATCCCTTTTTGTTTCTCTTTGTTGTTGTTCTCATGGGTTCATATGAGGATGAAATGCCACAGTTGCAGGCTGACCTGGAGACTTGGACATAAAGAAGTGGACACTACACAGGGAAATGTGAGGAAAGCAGTCAAAAGGGTATAGACGTGGTGTCCAGGGTGTCCAGCGTCCTCTGTCCTTGTGTGATATGATTAGCAGGATTGTAATGTAATTGATGCTTATATTTTCACCTTTTTCTTTTCCTCTCATATAAAGTAAGCAAACAAATGCAGGCTTCGAGTACAGCACACTATTTTTTTCTTGGTACAGCATTAGCTTTGGTATCTCCTTGCTCTACGTTGTGTGTCAGTAAAATCTGCAGAATTTTCAATAAATCCAGCTAGAGCCAGTTACATGAATGGTCACTTCAGCCATTTCCACTGTGTCCTTTGTATTCATGGTGGTTAAAAATGCTTATGAGTATTTAGTTCACTTATGATCTTTTATGTAGAATTTTTTCACCAATGTGTTCTTTTTCTCAACTAGCCTTTGTTTTAACAGAATAGTTGACTTAAGACATAAATGTTCTTGGGAAACAAAAGCATTCCAAAATTAATTTCATCACTAAAAATGTTCAATCTAGTTGGACAAAGTTCATTGGGGCCAAATGGATTTGGAGATGAGAAAATAGGACAATGGAAAGGGAATTGGGCTTGACCTGGCACCTCCCTGACCTGTGTATGAAATGTCAACTTGTATAACATGAACTCCTGACCTCGCCAGCCAAAAGAAGATGCTGATTTATCCACTTTGAATCCTAAACAAGATTAGTTGACTGGGGCAGTCTCAAGGGACTAAGACCTTCTAAGCCTACTAATGGATGATATTTCAATTATGATCAAGGATGACTACACATTTTATATGTCATAGCTAAAGGGAAAAATGTAAGTTACAAGTATTCAGTGAAAATGTATATTCCATGTTCCTCAAATTGTCAGTTCTCTTTAAGAACATTTACCTTCAAAATTCTTCAATCTGTAGAATTTTAATAATCTTTCTGATAGAAACATAATGGCTACGGCAGCCAAACAAGCTCATAGACTATGATAGAAACATATAGGTGGCCCTTCACGCATTCTTTCTCACCATCTAATTCTAGGCCATGAAAAAGTCATGTCAGAAATTGTTGTTTAAGTGGAAGTATTATATAATATATTGCCCATGTTGGGATTTTTTATTTGATACTTGAAATAAATACAGGCTTTAATTGATTCCCATTTATCTGTTTATTTTATTGCATATTTTTTCACTTCATACACTTTGGTCTTCCAGTAATACTACCCAAAGATGATCCAACTGGTACAAATTAAATTTGTAAATGCCTTTTTGCATTTCATGCTCTGCTTTATGATATCATGCCCAGTAACACCTATATGAGCTACAGGATGAATACATCAGTATTAAGCCTCAGAACTTCTTAGCACTATTTTATATGCCTTTCTTAATTACTGGCATCTCAATAATTTGGAGATCTTTTTTAAAACTAAGCACAAGAGAAATAAAAACAAAAAGTTGTAACAAAGAAGCCAACTACCAACAAAAAAATCTTGTTGGAATAATTTTAGTCATCTCTCTCCAAATTTTCTATATATATACTTATAGCATCAGTTCACTGAATCCCTTTAACCCACAATTATATCAATGCATACTTTGACTTCTTTTGGTTTTCTTGAGACAGGATCTCAATCTGTAGTCTATGCTGGCCCCAGACTTACTATGTATCCTAGCCTAGCCTCAAACTCACGGAATGTTCCTGCCCCAGCCTCCTGAGTGCTAAGATTATAAGTGTGTGCCACCATGCCTGGTTCCTTTTACATTTTAAATCCTCCATGTACATTTGTTTTTATTTGTTCAGATCAATCAATGAATTGAGCAGAAAAAAACATCAAGCCAATGAGCTTCTTGATTTTCATGAAATGAACAAAAAATGGCCTACCTTTCACTTTTTAGACTTGTTACATTATTTTATATAGCTTTAACTTCAGTTGGGATCAATCTTCTGAAGCTCAAGATTCAGGTTTTGTTTGCTGTGTCAGCCAACTCATCCTGAGCCCAACTGTCTTACTCTTAATGCCACTGTATCTGTCCCTTTCTTCTGTTTGTTTTTGGTACATGCCCACACTATAACTTAATTGAAAGAGAAACTATTATGTTAAAGAAAATAGTTAAAGACAGACGATACATGGAAACCTTCCCAATCAGAACCAGAAAATGAGAAGGGCGATTGAAGATGATCGGAGCAACACAGGATCTGGCCAATGATATTCACTATTGTTGCTTTTGCTTATTCAGTCACTCTCAGGGCCAATGTTCCTCCCAGGAGACACCTACCAATGTAAATAGACATTTTTGGTTGGTGTCCAGTGTATAGGAGCCAGAATTTCTGCTATGGCTTCTAAGCAAACTACTGTATCCTATAATGGGATAGAGTCCACGCCCTTTCCAAGCAGCCTCCAAGTATCCATAGTGTCAAGGCTGAGAAACTCTTTTTTTTTTTCAGAAATTTGTAATGTTTTACTTCCATATGTGGGAAAATAATCTGAGTCCAACTTTAAAAGATTAATGTAAATTGCTCACCTGTTGAGAAAAAAAGTAGGACTCACCAATCATTTGTCAGAAACTCTACTCCACTGACACTGGTATAAATTATAATTCAGTGACTGGGAGCACAGCCCTCATCTGTGTATTCAGAATCACCAGGACCTTCACATTCTTTCCAACCTCTTAGTGTCTGATCATAATCATCACAGAGTATAACTGAGATCTCAGCAGTTCATTCCAAATGGTTGCAGTTGATATGGTGACTCTCAACTGGAGCTATCATTTTTCCTTTCCAGCTTAATGAAACACCTCTTTTAAAACAATATTATTCATCTCTTTGTTTTCTCTTGAAACATCACTATCTGTCCATTATTTATTTCTTCTCTTCTCACAGCAATAATGTAGATATACCAGAGTGGACTTATAAGAAGAGTTTAAGAATGCAAAGAGAGTCTGTTCATTTCTTAACAAAAGAAACAAGTGGCCCTTTACCAGTCTACCATTCGTTTAAGACCAAATCTCAACTAGTAGGTCAAAGTCACCAACGGATCACCAGGGATATCTCTGGCTTGACTTTTGTGAGCTAGAGGTCTCACATACTCCTGATTTTGTCCACTCATTGCTTTCCAATTCTGAACTGATGACACCAGGAGAGATGGCAGTTCAAATTGATGGCAACAGTTACTTAACAATGGAGTCTACTTTTTATTTTTCCCTACTTAGTTCATGGATAGACCTCCTTGCCACTAGTTTGATAATATTCTTTTTAACAACCATAGCACTGGTATTCAAATAGATTAGGAAAGCACCCATGGCTGGATGGACTTGCACAAAGTATATTTTCAGCATGTATATACAGTACTATGACTCTTCAATATGCTTCTGTTAAAGGGGTGCACACTGTAGCATGAACCGTGTGCATATTTAATGTACCTTCCTGGAATATGCTGTATGCTTAATATATATATTCTATAAATATAATAATAAAATGTACAATAGAAATACATATTTCTGTATGCAAATAAATATATTATACACAAAATCTTAAAATGCAATGTGGTGTATGTTGCTTCACCAGTAGAAGTAGATTTCATGTGCACCAGTTTCCAAGAAAGTAGTATTTGCATTTGAAGGAAGAGATTTCAGAAAAACCAAAATCCTCTATTAAGCTCCTTCATAATCTTAGAGAGCCTAACAGTGAACTTAAATATCTCTTGGAGAATAAATGAATAAATTGTGCTGGCATCACCTCCATGACAACTGTGCTTTCTTCTGTGCCCTGTCAGGCCTGTGATGAGCAGCCTCACAGCTGGTGCGGGCCCCACAGCTGTGTTGATCTCTTGTCTGATTGCCTGATGAGGCTGCGACCAACCCAATCTCACACAGTTTCACTCTTTCAAATTGACTGATTTTAGTGAAATAAAAAATAATCAGACTCGGAGAGAAAGATGACCTTCAAAATGTTTTTTATCTGACCAACAAGGTAAAAATTCTACAAGCACTGTATTTTATAAACCACTCTTTTTCAGTTTGGGTCTGATATAGCATCCCATATGTTAAGTGACAAAATATTAAATGAAGTACAAAGTGTAGGTTTCTTTGTGAAATTGCAAGATGGTTTGTTTATGTCCTACATGCCTCATGGTGATCCTTCTGCATCGTTTGTTGTGCACACCTCTACCCGCATTCCTCAGAGTGCTGTCTTTGACCATTAGCAAAAATTTATTGTTATAAGTTGATGCTGTGCATGCCTTCCCAGGACATGACTGCATTTTAATAGAAAAATGGTCAGCTGTTAACTTGTGAAATTGCTTAGCCTCCAAACTGCAATGGTTAAGATATTTTCTAATTAATTCTAGATTTTTTATCTTTTATGACATATAATAACCATATTGATAAATGTACTTGAAATGCCATCTGTATATCAGAGTTTAAAGTTAAATACAACAACTGCTTAAGTCCTATCTGTATCTATAATATATCCACTGTGAAAATATTTTAAATATACTTTTCTATGACCACTGCTTCTTATATTTTCACACCAGCTATGTACTTAGTCTGTCCATATGAAATATCTATTGTATTATTTTGTTGTTTAGGATAGCTGTACAGTAAAAACATTTGCTTTTAAAGAGTAATTCTCTACCTGTTTTTACACACACAGAGATACAAACACACATACTCAGGCACATAAACCCAAATTTACATATGCAAAATGCACAGACATGCATACATCTGTACATACATAAACAAGTCTCACCTTTATATTTTGCCAGTGCCCAGCTCCATATTACCTTCAAAACATTTGGTATTCTCTAGAGTTTAATGAGTAGAGTTAAAGAAACTGCTTTACTCTCTCTTACTTGTGTTATAAGCAATTTACTGCAAATTTTCTTGTCCTTCTTAGAACACAGTTTCAACTTGTGTTTGCCACTGACAGCCCTCTAGTCATCTCTTCACTGCATTCCCATGATTACATGGAAGCAGGGTGAGAAACTATCAATCCGTCATAAAAACCACACCATAACACAAAGAGACTCATCAGGAGGTGTGGACCCTTGCAAGGGGCGCTCAGTATACTGGGAAACTGGGTAGTAGAATGACTTTTAGTCAGCTCTATACCCTAATGGTTGAGGAGAACGTGGAAGTGAGAATACTCAACGTATACCTTCCAAATCCTTCCAGAAGGTCTTGTCATGCTTATAGCCCTTAAAACCTGTGAATGATAGACAAATTTAGGTCGCTGTTTACTTTGAATATGAAAGAGATCATCCAAATATTAAAAAAATATTTGATGTCCTGAGTTAGCAACAAGGAAGTCAGGCATTCAGCTGCCACACTGTGGATCATGTAAGATTGCCAGACCACTTATTTTGGAGGGATCTTATGATTTTGGATTATTAATAAAGAAGTAAAGAGAATCATCTAAAGATCAAATATTAAGTGGCTGAATAAAGCCAGTTCTTCTATTTTCAACAGTATTTGTAAACTTAATCTTGCTATAAACTGTAACGTAAACAGTTTTGTGTTTAAGCAAAGAAAAATAAGGAGTATAATCAAAAATGAAATGTTCACAACAAAAGTATGAACAAAAATAAAACAACTCAGTCCTAAACTCTTTCAACGGAAATGACAGTGGTTTAATACAACTTCTTTTCTTTTTCCAACTTGGTTGTATTTTTATCTTATATTTCTTCTCTTTTGGGAATGCTTGCTAAATTCTTTGTTAATGATGTTTTCAAGGTAAGATTATAAATGTCTTTGAACAGTAAACAAGTTAGTTGTTTTCCTGTTTTGTCGTAGTTCATATTGCTGTTGCAAAGCATTAAAATAACCTTCAAAAAATAGCAATAAACTGATGATAATGAAACATACCAATGAACTGCTGATACTGAAGCAAGGTAATGCAACAAAAAGGCAACTTCAATTTAAAATTCTGTGTTCATGATGGTTTGTGCACGTCATTATTTTTTATCACCATGGCCTGCATTTCCTCTGTGGTGTCTTGGGCTCCCTCGTGGCTTTTCTGCTGTATGGTCACTATCAAGTGTGTGGACAGATCAATATGCCTCTTAAACCAGGCTGTATGGGAATAGGAGCATGCACAGTGATTCAACAGACACTCATGGTGATTAACTACTGGTCCAAAATTAAGAATCTGGAGCCTGCCAATCCCTTGCTGAACACCATATAAAACAGAAACTCCATTCAATCCAAAGGTTGGGAGGATGGAAGAGTGATAACATTATTGAAAAATTTAACATGATGAAAAGGGAACTACTGTTTCTGTTCAGTGTGTACATACCTATTATATACACATTTTAACAGACAAACAACATTCCTTGGCCACGTAGATAAGTATTTTATGTAACCTATAAGTTTGCATTACAAGGTTATACTAGCTATACTGAATCTTAAAACCTGTTATGACAAAGGAGCCTAGCTCCTCTGATTTGCTTTATTAAATGAAAGACATTTTTGTTAGACAGAAGCACACACATAATGTGGAATCCTAGTCTTTTAAAGATCCTAAAATATGACAGGTATTTAAATTAAATAAATATGAATTCCTATCACATGGTAAGATTATTTCACAAATGAAATGTACTCACTGGTTTAATTTTAAAATGCATATTCTTGAAGTCATATTCTGTCTTCTTTTAGTTGTTTAAGTATAATTTTTGATACTATGGTTAAAAGCAACTCAATATTTATAAATTGAATTGAATGCATATGTTTTACTATAAATTTCATATATTTATATGCATTTGTATGATTATATGCACATTATACATCTTATTTATATGAGAAAGAGAACATATTTAAAGGGATGAGACTAGAAATTTAATGGAATAATGCTCACAAAACAGGGAATAAGCTATTTATTCTTCAATGGAAAATATTCAACATACCAAAGGAGTGCTGTCATGAGTGTTGATGGTGTATGTATGCAAAGACATTCCAATTTCTAGATTTAGTGTGGAGGAAATAGTGATGCTAAATTCCAAAAATATTTTGAAAATAACAATTACATGCCAATCCCACAGATGTGTTTCTGTTAAACTATCATCCTAAATGACGCATTACACTGGTCAGAAAGCACAACAAATAAAGAAAACATTTTGTTTGTTTTCAGAAAATGATCATCATGTTTAGAACATGGACATGAACATCTTACAAATCAACCTCAGTATCCCTGGGTGCTATGCGGGAAAGACGGCCAGTTAGAGCTGGTACAGCTCAACTGCAATATAAAGTAGTGGGCACCCTGACTGCCCTGGAAGACTTTCATTTTACTTTCTCTACCTAGTGAACAAAGATTGCTCCAGGCTACTTTTTCTATCCTCTGCTCCACACTTCTAAAATTTCCAAAGTGTGCTGGATAGAAGGAAAACAGGCTCGTTCAGGTTCTAAAGAAGAGCTTTGTGACCAAGTACATAGGGAGGATTTTCCACTTTTGTGTTCTTTTTCCATTGAATTGAGACATAGATCTGGATATAGATCTGTAATTCATTTCCCCTTTCCAAGACAAGAGATGAAATCTAAAACCCATGCAAACTAACATGAATTATTCTCAAGCGTACATTAAAAAAGTACCACAATGACTAGGCTTGGAGCTGATCATGTTCCTGACAATGAGGCAGTGCCAACACCGTCCAGTGGATGTACTCATGTACTCAAGGGTAAGGCAAACTATGACCATTTGTATCTTGGGATTGGTTGAACTCTAATTTACTTTTAACTCCTCTCTCTTGTCTTCTTGAAGATCATAACAACTGAGCTTCAGCCTCTCAAGTAGAAAACAGATCCACTTCCTCGATTCTTTATCCCCAGCACCATCCCATCTCCTTCTCTCCCAAAGGCACCTCACCCACAGCCTCAGATTTTATTATCATCTTACATGGATACCATGTAAATTTCAAATATCACTAGGTCTGTCTTCTCTGTTGCATGCCAGACCAGGCCATTATATATTACTGTTCAACTACTCAGGCCTCCTTATATTGGACATATCACTTATACCTCAAATTACAGTCATATTCTTGACCTTACTCCCAAATTTACTCTATTCTACTGATTTCTAACCTTTCATGTATCCCAGTTGCATAAATTGGGAGGATAAAAGCATTGTCCCTAATGTCACCCCAATCCTAGGGTGTCTTCCCATTTTTAATTCATGAATAACAAATTTGTTAAATTTATCTATCAACTTCTCCCATGGGCCTTGCCACATCAACTGCAATCCCATTTCATCTGGCTTTTACCTTGCCATCAGAGCAGTCTTCAGGAAGAAAATCTGAACACATAACTTCCTTGTTAAAGTATTTGGTGATGCCCTCTTTTGACAAACTGCAGACCTATTAATCTGGTTTATACACCCTGCAAGCAATTAGTCCCTCCTTCCTGTGTATCCTCCTTCTCACCTCACCACCACATGACTTTTTGCTCTTGTCACATTGCAACAACTTAAATTTGGCCTCATCATGCCCTCTTCTTTCAAAAGGCCTTTACCTATGCATGTGACAGAGCTCCCTGTGAAGTCTCCTCACCTGTCCTTAACTGGATAATTCCTAACAGTCCTTCACTTCTAAGATCATCTGCTCTGACCTCTCAAAATAAATCACATCCTTCCCATTGCTCCTAGGATGTTTTTTTATAGTACAGTTTTATACATGTGGATGGAATTATTTGAATAATTTTTCTGTCTCCTTGTGCAAGCTATAAAAATACCAAGAGTGTCCCTGGATTTGTCC